GATATTTATTTGACACAGGTAAACTGTGCTGGAAGTCTTAGTAGAGTGAAACGCAGTTGGTTTCTGACTCCAAACACTTTTGCGGTAGTGTGCCGTATCTGTTATTTGTTGAGAACAGGTATTTAACAGGCCATGGTAACACCATGTACTTTCATATTCTGTATGTACAACATAAGTGATTATGTTCCTTGCATGCATTTCATATGTCATATTGTGCATACACTATTTTATTTGTCCATGTATGTGTATGGCACAATATTATAATTAGATGCACACAGTAAGAGGATGATTACAAAATGTTAAAATGATTTTCACGTTTTCTGTAAGATGCATGCTCATTTGGCAATATTAACTAATGAAACTGAGTTTCATTTGATTTGAAAGTACAAGCCAGCGTGGTCAGTTGCTTGCACTGCATGCTACTTACACTTTGGAAGCTGTTATTTGACCGGTGTTGCTTCGCTGCTTTTTCTGAGACAAGAGTACTAACATGTCATGGTGCCATTTTTTAACTCCAGTACCAGTTTAGGTTGTGTTAGTTACATTGATCTGCATACAGAGCTGTTCTTAGAATTATACTGCCCAAATCCAGTTCTCCTGTTAAAAGAACCATAGTTGAAGCCACAACTGAATTAGAGAAGTAGAGTTCAAAATGAAGGGACTTAAAGTGACCATACAGACTCTGTGTAAATCCTGTTTGGACCAGTCTTAGAGGCTGGTAAATCTAGTAAATATCCATGCTCAGTTGTCAGTGTCATAGAACATCATTTGCATGCTCCTTTCTACTGTCTGAGAAGACATAGTCAGTGTTTAGTAGACAGTCTTATTTTAGTTAAATTGTTTTCGTGTTACTCTGCTTTGGTTTTGCATGTTAAACATTGTTTTGCTAACTGCCCAAAGAAACTGAATCTTTGTTTTTGTTCTCTTACTAGATTCTGCGTGTACTTGGTGAAAATGCAATTGCTGTTCGAACAAAAGCCATGAAGTGTTTGTCTGAGGTTGTTGCCGTAGACCCCAGTATTCTGGCCAGGGTAAAAAAGGAAATACCCATCCTGTGCATACATTCTTCTGCCATGCTTAACCTAAATCTTCACTTCTTAATTTGAATCTGTGTTTCTTTGGTTGTTTTTAGCTGGATATGCAACGAGGTGTTCATGGACGATTAATGGATAACTCCACTAGTGTACGAGAAGCAGCCGTGGAGCTGCTTGGCCGATTTGTGCTCTGCCGTCCTCAGCTTGCTGAGCAGTATTATGACATGCTGATTGAAAGAATATTGGTACGGTGGCTTGATACTTATGGTAAAATAAGTGGCATTGGAAATCTGTTTTAAACTGCATTTATATGTTTAGTAATATGGAACGATGATCCCAAGAGTAAATTATATCTTATTGTTTTAATGGGGAGCATCGTGATTTTACAACCAACCTTGTAAAACCAGTCTCTTGTTTCCAGTGAGAATTTGTAATATAGAAACCTGTATACCTATATATGTTATATAGGTAAACGTATATAGAAATTTGTACCACATCAGAACCAGGATTATATTTCTTTTAATTCCATTATTAAGGCAGAAATTAGGTGGAATGAGGAATTTTGCCATATCTCTGAAGTCTGAAATACGGTTCGTTGAGGGAAGTTCAGTAGTGTGGTGATGAAGAAAGATCTACAGCACAGTAATCTAAAGGACAAAAAAAAGATAAAACTACTTTGCTTTTCTATGTTATTTTTAGTGTTTTAAAAGGCTTTTTTGTATGAAAAGTGTGTTTTGTCTGGGTGTTGAGATAAAATGCTACATTAATTTAACTATAAGGTAACACTAGCTCTTAGCATTCATGTTAGGTTTTTAGTCAGATACTACTCATTTGCTATAGTTACCTGATAAAACATGTTTCTGAAGGGTTTTGGAGATTAGTATCTTCATGTCCATATAGAATCATAGAATCACAGAATCATGGAATGAATGGTTTGGGTTGGAAGGGACCTTAAAGTGGGTGGAAAGTGCCTTAAAAGCCCTTCTTTCCCCACCCCCCCTGCCATGGGCAGGGACACCTTCCACTAGGTCAGGTTGCATATGAGCGTGCATAAAGCAGTTCATCCTGACACTGAGTTTCAACAGGTTTGAATAAGGCAATAGGAAGGAGGGAAGCTGGGAGGGGACTTTTTACAAGGGGTAACAGGTTTAAATTGAAAGTCGAGAGGTTTAGATTAGATACAGGAAGAAGTTCTTCCCAGAGAGGGTGGTGAGGCACTGGAACAGGCTGCCCAGAGCCCCATCCCTGGATGTCTTCAAGGCCAGGCTGGATGTGGCTTTGAGCAACCTGATCTAGTGCAAGGTGTCCCTGCCCATGGCAGGGGGGGGGGAAGTAGGGGGTCTGTAAGGTCCCTTCCAACCCAAACCATTCTGTGATTCTGTCATTCTATGAAGTCAGCCTCCTCATCTATCTCCTTAAATGAAGGAAAATGGCAAAGATTGCTGTCTCTGTCTTGTTTGTAAGCTTTGTCCAAGGGCTTGAAGTATTATAATCCAGATCTACAAAGAATCCTGTGTGTTCCAATAGACTAGCTAAAGCGTCATCACATCTAACTTGGAAACCTTTGAATTAAGTAGTAGAACTACACATTTGCAACATCCATTAGCTCTTAGATGGGAGGGTATAAGTGGAGGGAGTGTTTCAGCATCTTGAGGACTCAGCCAGAACCTTTAAAATTGTTGTAAATAAAGTGATACAAATTATGCTGATCTCTTGCGTAAATGCAGTGCAGAATATTTTAGCTGCTTTTTCTAAATAAATTCTGCAAGCCAGATTGGGTGATCTTCAAATACTAATTCATATACTGCATAAATTAATTAATATTGCTGGTTTGTTTTCAAGAATATAATGCTTTTCTCTTCACAGGATACTGGTATCAGTGTCAGAAAGAGAGTCATAAAGATACTTAGAGATATCTGCATTGAACAACCAACATTTCCCAAAATTACAGAGATGTGTGTGAAAATGATTCGGAGAGTCAATGACGAAGAAGGCATTAAGGTAGAATGAAACATATCTTGAGGATTTAAATTAGTGTTGAGTGTTTCCATATTATGACCAAAAAAAAAATTCCAAAAAATATTTCATTCCTCCTTTGTAATATTTATGACATTTATACACTTTAAACTTTTCAGAGCGAATATCTTGTCTTTCTAAAAAGCTCTCTGGCTTGTTCTTCTTTCTTTCCTATCTTCTATTTCCTTGAAGTTTTTGCTAACAATCAGAAGATTTTAAAAGATTATTTTCTAGGTTTTTTCTTTTCTTCTAGCAAGCGTTGTCTCTGGTACTTCTCTTTTCTAACATGTAAAATTGGCATATAAACTTACTTTCTGCAAACAAAATTAACTTTAACTCAAAATTAAGTACTTGATATATGCCAGATTTGTGAGTTCTGCATATAAAAATTGCATTCATTTGTGCCAATTTTGCACTAATTCTGAATGTTCAATGAATCAGTTATCCCCCCTAAAATGTTACTTATTTTATCCTGCTCTACTCCTTGTTCAGTGGATATGCAGAAGGGCACAAAACTAAGATTCTGTGTTAAATCATAAACCTGATGACAGTTTTGTTTGATTTGGCAAAATAATCTAAAAACTGTTTGGTAATTAGGAATGCAGCTGTAATAATTTTGTATTTGCAACTTTAAAGCTGCAGTATGTATTTTTACCACCTGGGATAGGTTAATGCCAAGTTGCTTTCTAAGAAAACTTAATCAAGAATTGATGGACAGCTGCATCCATGCTGCTGCTGGGAAAGATGACCTTGTTCTCACTCCTCCTTCTGCTTGCCTTTCTAACAACATCAGAAGAAATGAGGCATTATCTTCAATGTATTTTTTATGTTTCCATGAATGAGGAGAGCTTCTTACAACCATATGCCTTATAAGTAATATGGGAATAATTTAGTTCACTTCCATTCTATTCCATTTTTTCCTCCATCCAAAAACTTTGGAAGGGAATGTACTTCAATGTGTGGGTAGCGAGACTTGGCTTCTCTCTGTTTCCCACCTTGTCACAGATTTTGAAAACACTGAAGTAATCCCCCATTGCTGCTAGTTCTGCTGTAGACATTATAATGTTGTGTCCAGTTGTCAGCTTCTCAGGGTACTCTGTTTTTCCAAGGAAAGCAAATTAATGCAGGAAAGTGGTAACTTCCCATAATGTCAGCTCCCAGTCATCATTTTGCTGGAACTTGCTTAGCGGTCTGTCTCAGATAACATTTCCTACAACAGTCTCTCTTGGCTTAAATAATTCCTTATGAAATGGCACACATCATCAACGTATCTATTGTATGGATGTTTTAGAAATAATACCTGTGGACTAAGATAAGTTTGTTTATTTCTGGTAATACTTTTTTTCCTTCAGAAATTAGTCAATGAGACATTCCAGAAGCTCTGGTTTACTCCAACTCCACACCATGACAAGGAAGCAATGACAAGGAAAATACTAAACATCACTGATGTGGTATGTCAAACCAATTTGCGTTGTGTGCAAAATCTGATTGGTTTTAGTGCCTTTGAAATATTGTCTGTAGTTTTTTTAGGATACAGTAATTTAATTGTGGGATGTTTTTATATCTCCTGACATTGAATATATGCCAGAATTATTCAACTGATGGAACAGGCTGTAGGAAACTTTAAACACTCACTAGTCTAATTTCAGCGATAATTGGGACCACACTATATTTAGATAGTATAAAATACTTGTTCAGTTAAAACACAACAAATTTCTATTGTATTTAACATTTTCCAGGAATTGCTAGTAGCAGCATATAATTAAGCCTAACTAATAAGTTGTATCTTAAAAGTAAACTGTCCTCAAACAATTGGTAACATTTATTTTGAAAGGTTGATAAGCCATTTTAACAAATACAAGGTCCTTTTCTCAGCCAGGGTAAACCAGTATTGGCATAATTGTATCTACTTTTTAGGAGTAGCAAATTAAATAGCATGTCTCCAAAATAACAAAATCTAATCTGTTTCAAATAAAACACTTTAATTTGTAGGGACAAATGCGTTGTGTAAAACAACTGTGAGAAGGTGTTTTAATATCAACTATACGTAGATGTGAATATCAAATAAAGTACTTGCTCTGTTACTTATAATTGGGTTACAAATGGGTCTAAACCTCAGGCTGCTTTTCAATATTTTAACAAACATTAGTCTAGTGTGCATTTTTCCAGACTGAGAAGTCAGTCCCTTTGCCTTCAGCTTAACATTCAGTTCTCCTGCCAATTCTACTTTGGAGCACCTGTGAGCTGTTCCTGGCATATGATACCAGTGACGGCTTGGTTTCTTTGTATAAAAACATGCATATACATTTATATACACACACGTATTCATTTTTAGTATGTAATTTTGTATTTGTGCTTTAATCTGTTCAAAATGTTCTACAAAGCCAAAATTTGGTTTAAGTTAGAGCCAGCGATTTCTAGTAAAATGTGTAGGCTTCATGGTGTATGGAATGCAAATTCTACAGTGGTGAGAACTGTTTTTCAAACTCAGAATATATCTATGCATCTTTACTCTTCTTTTAAAGTGACATCTGTACTGAAATAATTTTTCCACAGATGCCTTTATTATTAATCAGTTTATTTTCAACAATACTTCTAGGTTGCAGCTTGTAGAGATACAGGGTATGATTGGTTTGAACAGCTCCTTCAAAATGTAAGTAATGAGTTTTGAATATATGGTACAACCGTTGTTAGAATTTTAACCTTTCTTTCGGTACTGAAACACACAGAAGTGGGACTACAAGACCAGTCTTATGCAGCAGACAAGTTAAATTCATGCCCTTTAAACATACAACTTTTTTTAAATCTTCATTGGTGCAATTTTCTTTGTCTCTGATTTTAGTTTCTGTCTTTTCATATGATCTGTTTTAAAAATGCTTCACTTCCTGGTTGTGGGAGGGGTTTTGTTTGGTTGGTTTTAATTTCGTAGTCTCTTCAGTAATGAGTGACATAACATGAAGTCCACAGCTAAGATACTCAATTCTGAAATGAAGCCTCTAGTGTAATGAAGATTTTTTTTTTTTTAATGGTAGATAAGTTTATTTTCACATCCAATATATTTGTTGCACAGTTTAATAGAAGCAGTGAATCTTGGGAGTATAAGTTACTTTTCCATTATATCTTGTTCTGATTTTTTCTAAGAATTCAGCTTGCTTTCTTTATATTTCTTAACCTGTGTTACCTTTCTCCTCTACATTTTGTATGCACTGGTTAATTTTCAAGAAAAAACACTTTTCAGTTTTACCTAAACCTGGAGTGCCATGAAAATAGGTAGCCAGGTAAACCACAGCCACTTACTGCCTGCACTGAAGAAAAGACTAGAGTATGGTCTCAATCATTTTTAGAAACTAAAGGATCATCTTGGACACAATCTCGGTACCCAAAGTCATACAGAAGAAGGATAACTGATTAAAATGTTCATAAAACTGTGTTTCATCTTCATTTTATATTTTTGATTAGTGTCAAAATGTTTTCTTTTGAATTTGCCTTTTTTTGTTTTTCTAAACGTTCTAAAAGCCTTCTAACTCTTACTAGTTACTGCTGACAAGTATGATGGCATTACTGGTTTCTGCATTATTTCTCTAAGCACAAAGTTAGCTGTCATCCCAGTGCAAAAATCTCTAGAACTTTTCTCTCTCTTTTTTTTGTTGCATTTAATTTTTCTTTGCTTCTTTTGCATTCTGGTTTGATTTTTTACTTCCTGTAATTTTTTTCTGCACCTCGCAACTTCTGTGGAGAAATTAAACAAATACTTTACAGTGTAAAATCCTTGCATATCTGTAGTAGTTGTTATAAAACCAGCATATATCCGGTGTAAATGAAAGCACCCTTAATACTGAATCATTTTCTGTTTCATCTCTTACAGCTGTTGAAGTCAGAAGAGGATGCCTCATATAAACCTGTGAAGAAAGCCTGTACTCAGCTTGTTGACAATTTGGTTGAGCACATCCTTAAATATGAGGAATCTTTATCAGGTAATTTAACTTCCAGCCCAGTAGCTAAACTCTTTTGAGTTTTATGTGATACTGTAACAGCAGTTGTCCAAACTGTTATTGTGAAAAGCAACTGTTACAGAATTCCTGTTACAAAACTGATGGTAAGGAATTACTGCTTTTAAGTTCATTGTGGACTTCTGAGCACTGTATAATAATAAAGCTTCCCTAATTTTTCACTAGCCAACGACAGTAACAGAACTACTTTTAAAGCAACTTGTTCAAACTTGTAGATCACTAAAACCAAAAGAAATATGGCAAGTTTCATTCACATTAGTATGTTGTAGAATTGTAATGGGAATCACTGGCTGGAATCATCAGCTGTATACAGTAAGTTGTTCAAACACTAGTGATGTCTTTGAAGCATCATTGCTTCTTTCTTCACCTTTTGCAATCACATACAAATGTTAGCACAGTATGTTCTCGTGTCTAATCGAATAAAAATATTCTGTATTTATCTTGAAAGAGATGTAATGAGAGATTCTCAAACAATTCTTAAGCCATATGTTTTTCATTGCTCTAATGTTACTTGGACTTAATATCCTTTTCATATTTTCAAATCTTTTGCAGATTCTGACAACAAAGGTGTGAATTCTGGTCGCTTGGTTGCTTGCATAACCACTTTGTTCTTATTCAGCAAAATCAGGCCCCAGCTAATGGTCAAACATGCCATGACCATGCAGCCGTACCTGACCACTAAGTGTAGTGTAAGTCTTTTCTTTTTTTTTTCTCCATATATCATAAGCAAAAACTTCCAAATAACGTAATGGCTGTCTTGTATACTTGATTAAATTGAAGGTAGGAAAAGAAAAATTAAAATTGTGGTTTTATTTTGAGGGCATAACTTCTGAGGATAGTAGCTCCTTTTGATGATTTCTGTAGCTTCTAAGATGCTGTTCCTCACCCTCTATCTGCAGATTTTACAGCCAAATGCAACTGTAACCTGTGCTGCGTCTTGCCACTGAGGACTAATATCTTTAAGGGATCCTTCTTAAAATTGTTGTGTTTCATAGTCAAATTCTTAAAAATAGTTAGTATTTAACATATGAGTCTTAAGACTAGTACAGTTGGATAAGATAGAGTGATCTAGGATATAGCAAATATATCAGAATGAAAATGTCCTGCTCTTTCCTCTTCCATACTTCACCTCTCACTACCCTAGCTCTATTATTTTTGTACTATCCTGTAAGATAGTGTAGCTCAGAAAGTTTTTATTTTGTTTAAAGCACACTGAGTCATAGCACAGCCTCATTTTGTTGCTGACACCTGTTTCCAGGTGTTGTGTGCTCTCTAGTGTGCATGTGTCAGGAATAGTTCTTCAGTATATCTTAGCACTTGAAAAAATTGGGACCAGAAATCTCCAGGTCTGTCACAACCTTGATGAGAGATGAAGTTCTGCTTGTACAGATTTTTTTTTCCCCTGAAGTTCTGTAGAAAACAGAACTAGCTTTCATCATAATGTGTAAATTAATACCAGGTAAAGTATATATTTATATTTATTTAGATTTTTAAAAAATATCTTGCATAAATCGGGATTTTTTACAATCAGTGCATATTAATAATAATTAGCTGATGGGTAACACAACAAGAAATATTAAATGCTATAAATACTGTTGTTTCAGACCCAGAATGATTTCATGGTCATCTGCAATGTTGCAAAAATCTTAGAGCTCGTAGTGCCGCTAATGGAGCACCCAAGTGAGACCTTTCTTGCCACTATTGAGGAAGACCTTATGAAACTCATCATCAAATATGGCATGACGGTAAGCTTTTAATTGCTGCTGCTCCGTTGATTCCATTTCACATTGTGAAATACATGGTTTTGATTTAAAGAAAATCTGTCTTCATTATGAAGATAACTTTTGAGCCATCAGTTTACGTGTTTTACTGGAGTTTGCATGTGTTTTTGCTGTATTTTTAACAAGTTTGAGAAGGTTATCAGAGCAGGCTAAGAGGGGGACATTATGTCTGTTACACAGTTATTTTTAGTTCAGCATAGCTTTTTCCTACATAACTTCACGAAAAACTCACTTTTAACTTCTAGATACATAATTCATTTGTTCTTTCTTGCCTCTAGGTTGTTCAGCACTGTGTGAGCTGTCTTGGGGCTGTTGTGAACAAGGTCACCCAGAACTATAAATTTGTGTGGGCCTGTTTTAATAGATACTATGGTAAGTAAAATCACAACATGTAATCGTCACTTTCCAGTTTTGGCTACAAGCCTTATCTTAGCGGTACAGCATGATTAAACACTGTGATCAACTCTTTCATTACTCTAGGTGCACTTGATACTATGGTAAGTAAAATCACAACATGTAATCGTCACTTTCCAGTTTTGGCTACAAGCCTTATCTTAGCGGTACAGCATGATTAAACACTGTGATCAACTCTTTCATTACTCTAGGTGCACTTTCAAAATTAAAAAGTCAACACCAAGAAGACCAGTACAATACAATACTTACTGCCAATAAACCAGCACTCCTTAGATCACTTTTCACTGTTGGAGCACTGTGTCGGCATTTTGATTTTGATCAGGAAGATTTTAAGGGCAACAGTAAGGTAAATAACTTGTATTTACTCTCCATGTCTTAGATATATTGAATGCTCCACTTTAATTTGAAAGCACATTACTCCTAGCCCTTCAAAGCTATGTATTTTTGCATGACGCATACTGTGCAGCTTTTTGTGTTTTAAGAATGTAGTTTTGCAAAGGCCATGCAGTAAGATTGTGTATCTCCTTTTCTTTTTGATATATATGCTTTTTATAAGAGATTAAAAAAATCTGTTTAATCTTCAAATGGCTATTGGTTTTGTTTTAATTTGTTCAGGTTAACATTAAGGATAAAGTACTTGAACTGCTGATGTATTTTACAAAGCATTCAGATGAAGAAGTACAGACAAAAGCCATTATTGGCCTTGGTAAGAAATATTAATAGTTTTTATTATTCTCATATAGGAAAAATATATCCGTATCAGTAGGAATTAGTGTATTTGTGTAGTGGCAAGGGAATTTGTTTAGAATCAAAACATATGGTGTGTCAGCGAATGCCTTTTGATGTGTGACCAAGTCTTAAAGTGCGGGGGATTTCCAAAGTAATGGAGATGTTATCTTTTACAACATGCAAGTATGTTGTAACTCCAAAATCTTGTTTTTCAGTCCACAAGCTATGGTTAAAGAACAACTGGAACAAGGGCTGGAAAACATTTTAGGTGTAGGAGCCGATATTCTGCAGGAGTCAAGGGAACTCGGCAGTTGATACTAACTGGGGGGTGCTCTGTGAGATTTCTTAAGGTGTTGAGAAATGGCATAGTCTAGGTACTACAGTTTGGTTTGGGATTTTAGGTGTGTTTCACTTCTAAATAGATTGTTTATTGGAAGGCATTGGTATGGAATTTCAGTGACCTGCAGTAGTACATGAACTGCCGTTGAGTGGTTTTTATCACGTTCATCCTCTGCTTAAGGATAAGAACTGTGAGAGAATCTTGTTTGGATAGATAGGCCTTGGTTTCTGGAAGAGTTCAGTTCATGGTTATGGCTTGGTATAAAGGAAGCTGTCTCCCAGGCATGTGAGCTTGCATTGTATAGTTTAACTGCGGACAAGAAGTTGCCTCTTTATGTTGCTGTTCAGGTGGCTTTTTAGATGTCTTGCTTCAATTCAGGCTAGGGAGGGCTGCAAGGGCAAGGGCCAGGGCCAAGACTGAATCTTGGTTTTTCATTCTACAAGAAACCATTTCAGACAGCTGTGCAGGATTATTTGCTTTAGAGTTGCCCCTGTTGCAGGAGCAATGCTACAGTTCTCTGGACTAGTTGGAATTTTTCTAGGCATTACATCAAGGTGCACGACATTTCCTGCAGTCCGGTCCAATTTAATTGTCCTCTACAGAGAATTGCATATGGGATAGGGGCTGTCTTCCTAACCATAGACGTGATTGCTCATGGATGTGGAGAATGCTGCAGACTCCAAAACTGTTTCTGAATTATAGCCTGGACTGTGATCAGTTTGGGGGAGGGAGGAGAAATGGGTGTGGCTGTGAGTAGGCATTCTTCAGATTTTTTTTCCTCTGCCTGTAAGCATAAATAATGCTTATTAAT